CCCCGGCCCTTTCTTACCTCCTCGCCTTGGGTGCGGGGCCAAGGTCAGGCAGACGGACCAGAAGGGTGCTTAGCCCAAGAGAGAAAGCCAGAGCAGAGAATAGAACAGGCTGGGTACCAGGGTAAGGAACAACAGATAGAATTTTAAAAAAAGAAACAGAACTCCGTTGTCCTGCTTAAAGTAGAAGTCTATGCAGCTAAATTGTTGGGTTGTGTTGGGGCCCTCAAAACGGCATCCCTCAACTTGGGAACCCAAATCTTGGGAGTGCCGCATGCCTCTGCGGTGTGTGGCTATCCTGTTAAGTGGAATAAACCAGACAGGAGCTTAAAGATCGCATGGGTTCGTTAATAGGAGAAACTCAAACTATAAATAAAGAGCAAAATAAAAGATAGTAGGAAACGGGGCGGGGATAGATCTGCGGCAACACAGGAAGGGAACACAAAAAGAATGAAGATGTGTCATGTACCTGCGCCAGGATCAGTGGGATCATTGTGCACTGTAACACGTACTAATAAAAATAAAGAACAGAGGAGGAGCACGGAGTTGGGGCTCTGTCTGTCTGAGTCACAAACACAAAGTCCAGCTGCACCCACAACTGCGGCCTACGCCAGCCAAGGGTTCTAGAAGCCTGCGAATCCTTGGGAGAGACCAGTAACGTATGCTTTCTTCACAGAGTACCAATTGAGGATTCTCATTTTTAAATTTTAGCCAAGGATGCAGGTTTTTTAAAAATTACTTTTCTCTTGGACCCTTGAAAAATAACAGGTTTTCGTGTGTGTCCAGTTTTATTGTACAGTACCTACAGTATTTCAAGTGCGATTTGAAAAGAACAAAGAACACTACTTTGTTTATTGCGACTATTTCCTGATCTGATTTGCTCAAGTAGATTTTTAGAAAATCCAGAAGTGACAGTTCAGCCACACATGCACACACGCACACTTCTTTCTCTCCTGGCCTGTTTGTAAATAAGAGGATCTCAGCCAGTGTTCATGCAAGAGGAAAACAAAGGACATCTCCATTGTCGTCACAAGGAAGGCTGCCATTTCTTTGATTCACCCCTCCTTTGAACCAGTGTCATTGAGTGCCTTCTGCAGCAAGCGTTGTGCTGCTGGGTATGATAAGCAGGGTTTTCCAAACAGGATCATTCTCAAACTGCCTCTTGTCTACTACATCTTTGTTGCCCCACGTATATAAACCCAGCCAACTGCAGTTTCTAGGTTCCATCCTTGGAGTAAAGGCAGCTACACATGATGAAATGCAGACATTCCCAGCATGCATTGGGAAAGGGGAGGCCTCAGACTTAACCTAGGAAGAATTTAAAATCACATGTTGTAAGCCACCCCAGGGGAGGCACACTAATGTCTGTGAAACACTTCTGGCACTCATGCTTTTATTTTCCAGAAGAAATGTACCCCCAGAACCAAAGCTGTGCAGCTCTAGAACTTAAACTCGAGTATCTGGCTTCTTTTCCAGGCTCACTGTGCAGCCCGGGGTGCTGAGCGTAGACGCCTACGGCAAGGCCTGAAGTTGTGTTGCCTGAGAAGAAAAGGCCGGAAGGGAAGGAAGAGCCCCTGAGACCAGCCCCTCCTGACCGGCTCCAGGCAGGAAGTCCGCACTGTGCGGGTAACAGAAAACAAAAGAGTTTAGATTGGATCCTGGCAGCAGCCCATTCTCCTGCTCTCTGTGACGGTAGCAGAGCCACATACCTTCTCTTTGAAGAAGCCGGTAATTGAATGCCTGCTTCAGAGGGGTATGGAGGTAGCGCAAACCTGCTCCTGCAGGCACCCTGTCTATCGGACTTGGGGCCAGGTGCTCCAGGAATGACAAGCAGCCAACCACTAAATGAGCACACTGATCAGATCACTGATGCAGGGTTCTCTGCTGAAACTCCCCACTTCTCACCGTACTCGTAGGGACAGCAGCCCCTGGCAGGTGTGGGGCTCGGACAGACCTAGTCTTGGCACACTGTATTCAGGCCATGCCAGGTACTTCCCAGCACATTGAAGTGACTGAGGATCTGCAAAGTAGATACTGTCTCCACGAACCTGGGAGGGTGACAGTGATGTCCCAGGACCACACAGCTGAGCAAGGGTAGGACCGAGGCTGCTTGTCAGGTCACCCATTATATCCCAGGCTTGGTAGCCCTGCACTACCTCCAGTAGAAGATACTGAGCAGGTATTGCTATCGTTCCAGCCACCCCACGTGCCCCTGCACCTGTACTGTCACTGCTTCTAACTTGGGCTGCTTATTAGAATCACCTGGGAAACATCTAAAACCTCAATGTATGGACTCACCCTGCCCCCTCCCCAATTTAATTAAAGCCTTTGGGGGTGGGGCCCAGGCATCTCAGTGTGGTGGTACAGTCCACTGTCTCAAGAGACCTTCACACATCCTGAGCATGCCCTGTCAAGGTTTGCCTTCCCGTAGCCACGGCTAAGGGGGAAGATCTTTATTCTCTGTTTGAAACTCTTAACCTATTTCTTGTGCAAAATTCTAGGTTTTCTTTGGAAAAAAAGGGTAGAGGGAGAATAACAAAATCTATGTGTCCATTGTAAGCATCTTTAGCTCAAGACCCTTGGTGTGTTTCGTGATTTAGTGCATTCACAATTTTATAATATTGCTTGTATTACTCCTTGTTCTTACCTTTCATGTAATGAGCGTATTGCTCCTTAGCATTTCTTCCTTATGTAAAACTATATATTTTAGATGCCAAAGACTGCAGCACTGGGCACAGTCTTTGTTTTGAAAGAATTTCTCTCAAACTGTTGAAAGAAAAAGTCCATAAAATCATTAGTTTCCTGTTGTAGCTTCAGTTGACATTCTAGACCCCAGGGAGCCATCCCCAAAGGCTGTAAGAGGGGCAGGAGAGAGGGCCCTTGATTCAAGCCCAGCCCCTGACCACGCCCCTCTTTGTCTCCTCAGCCTCCTTTGTTAAGATTTCCAGTTTGTGCGGCTCTGGACGCTCCTGCACTCTTCTGCATGTGGAGCAGTGTGACGCAGTATGTTGGCTTATGTCTTAAGAAAACCTCTCTTTGCGAGTCAGAGTAGGCCATCACCTGTGTATATCATTTCCTCTTTTCCCCATGCCAGCCTTGTCAGTTAGGCATCACTGTTCCTGCTTTACAAGTTGAGAAAACTCTGGCCCGGTTTAACAAGTCTGAACTCACACAGCTCACTAGGAAGCCAAAGACCAGGTTTTGGACCTTGTGCTTGCTATCCCATTACACTGTCCACTCTTCCACTGAGCTGCATTCACCTAGAAGGCAGAGAAATCAGACTGGCAACCTTCTTGCGCCATGCTGTTATCCAAGCAGCACCCTTCACTTCAGAAGCAGAGGTGGGCTCCCGAGGGCGGTGTGTTTGTCTACAACTTGTGGAAGTATTCTTTTGTCATCAGGATGGCCATCAATTTACAATCCTAGGTTGACATAGAGATTGCAGTGTTTAATTATGTTTTCCTCTGTGTAGATCTAGTCAGATCATTTCTGACTCACTGTAATGGTCAGAAAAGCTCTAGAGTAGGCAGTGGTTTCTTCCTCAGTATCGTGTCCAGTTTACACGTATAATGCTGAATTTTTTTTCCTAATTAGGTGTTACTCTTTTATATATTTCTGGGTACTTTGGGGTAGAATTGAGTTAAAATTTAAGTTACTACAAAGAACTAGTTAGAAATCTTGGATGGCTAAATAGCCTAAAGGAACACATAGACATAGTCTTTGAGTGGCTGTGCCATTGGGTGGGGTGTTTAAATACATTACCCAATTTGTTTCTAATCATCCTCTAAGCTTGAAGATACTAAAGTAGTTTCCTTGCCTGCCAGTGAATAGCCATGAATCACTTGCCTGAGGACCCCGCAGGTAAGGGATAAGGTCAGACTTTGAACTTCAAACCTTTCAATCTTTTGCTCTTCATGGGTACAGTAGTTATGTTGCTGTCCCAGTGATGGATATGGTGGGATCCATAATGAAAGGAGGATTTATGGATCAAAATGCCTGAAAAGAGGTGCTTAAGTTTGTTTCTCCTTCCAAAGAGGATATGGTCAGTCAGTGAATGCAGAGTTTGCAGGGCATCTCTCCTGCACAAAAATGCATGTGCTAGAATTGGCCAGCCACTTCTCCCTTCACATTAACGTCTTGCAGAGGAGTAGGTTCCTGTTTCCTCAGGGCTGTTTCACAGCGTGGCTAAACTTCAAGAGAAGTGGGAAAGCCAGGCACAGTTGTGAAAACCTGAACCGTGGCAGGCTGGGGCAGAAGGATGCAAGTTTGATCCTGGGAAAGTCAGCAAGTTAGCTAAAACCTTACTTCAAAATTTAAAATAATTTTTTTTTTTTAAAGGGCTGGGGATGTATGTCAGTGCAGAGGCCCTGGATTCCATTCTCAGTTACATACACACACACAAAGGAGGTGAGAAAAGGTAGTTCAGCGACTAGCTCACACTCAAATCCACTCAGTAGTGGAGCTTTTTTTTTTTAACATGATGACTACGCACAGCTGGTAGCCTCTTTCCCACTAAAACTAACAGGTTGTTTTGCTCCAGAAGTAAATCTCTTGCGAGGTGTAAATAAGTGTATTAAAATTACAACAGGAGATCTAGTGTATGTACTGAGAGCAGTTGTCAGGCAGCGAAGAAGTCTATATCAGTGCACTGGCTTCCAAACTTACTGTTTTTTTCCCTCATATCACTATAAATGTTGAAGAAATCCAGGCATGTGAGCTCAAAATCAGTGCCCTTCCACAGCGAAGGCAGGAGGAGGCCTTTCCATAGACACTTTCCTGCAGAGACAGGTAAGACAGTGCAGAGAACAGATTGCAATACCCGTGCTTCTCTGGCCTGTGGCAGTCTCTTTGGCTTTTGCTATAACGGTCGCTATATGCTGCTGAGTTACTTATGGAAGACAGATAACTTAATGTTGAATGGACATCTTTCTGTGCTGTGAAGTTAGCAATACTTGGCATTCTGTTTTTTCGAGAGCCCTTCTAAGAAAGTGTTTCTAGTCCTAGGAGGTCAAATGCAGAGGCTTCTGTTAAGGCACTGTGTATTTACAAAGTAGGTGAACGCATGCTGATGTTAATGATGGTTTCATGGGTGCCCTCAGTGTCAAGTCACCTGAGTACCACCCTTTGGTTAGCAGCCCACTGACCTGTAACTTGCCGAGAAGACTAGCCATGCAGGTGGTTGTACTCGTGTACCAACCAGATGGAGGGTGTTGTATGCAAGGTACAGGGGCCAGGCTCTCATGCAGATACACAAACGGTGTACTTAGGAGTGTTCGCATACAAATACCAGCGTTGAACCCCTCTTCCTTCTTCCATGCTGCACTGCCCATTTACCTTTGGGTGTGATATAACTGAGCTGTTTTCCCTACTTCTGGGGCTAGCCACAAGCTGTGAAGGCTCAAGAGAACTTCGCTTGTTTTGGAGAAACCTCACCTCTTTTCCACCAAGACTTAGGGAAATGGCAGTGTGTAACACAGAATTATTTTGACAGTAGTTTAGAATATGCTGTCAGACAGGTGACGTAATACACTGCTCAGCACAGCCTCCTGCTTCATATTGACACTTGTTCTAGTGAGTTCTTTAGATGCATATGACTTACTATGACTTGACTTACTCCTTGACTCACTATGGTTCCACTTAAGACTTTGTGACTTTACAGTGGTGCAGAAGCAGTATGTTTCTAACTCTGGTCTCTTCCCAGTGTGGTAATATGCAGTGCACTACTCTCGTGCTGTTGAGCAGAAGCAGTGAGCCATAGCTCCCTGTTAGGCACACAATCATGAGTGTAAATACCCAGGACTCTACAGTGTGCTGTGTTCAGTAAGTCATGTGAGATATTCAGCACTTACTACAAAACAGAGATGATTTTGCCAAACTGGAGGCTAATGTGTAAATGTTCGGAGCATATCTAAGGAAGACTGGGCTAAGCTATGATGTGCAGCAGGTTAGGTATATTGAATCTATCTTGTACTTACAGCATTTTCAGTTTCTGATAGGTTTGTTGGGCTGTACCCCCAGTGTAAATGGAGAAGCACCTGTAACTGCTTCGACAGTTCTAAAGAGGTATTGCCGAGAGGACTGTGTTCCTCCAGCACTTGAGCCAACGTGATTCTCTGAAGACGTTTCTCTTTCAGGATGCTCTTCTGTTCTTGTGGATGGTCGCGATCTTGCAATCCAGTGCGTTTTGACTTTTAGAAGGAAGGGCACCCTCCTGGTTTTGGCAAAACTGCTTTCCATGATGTTTGAAGGATATTGGAGGCTGAGAAAAGTGCCAAAAACCTGAAGATGTACAAACGGAGTCTTGGTTTGGGTGGGATGGAGGAATCTTGTCACATATTTGTTGTTTTTGAGAATTACTTAAAGTTAATGTACACATGAAGTGTTAGGTTGAACAGTGGATGAGTAAGTTATGCTGGGGCAAGTAAGTAAATCAGTTTCTCTTCTCTCAGCTTGAAGCTGGGAGCTTATCTCCCACCTATAAGGGCTTATATGTGGATTGGATGCAGATCTTTGGAACAGCATTGAGAACCAGGGGCCTCAGGATAAGAGAAGAAGTATGCAGATTAATAACTGGCCTATTGAGAGTCAGTTATTTTTTGCAGCTCCAGAGTCAAAGTGGATGAAAGTTACAGGGAAGCCAGTTTCAGTTTCATTGATGGATAATTTGTTGACCGTGAAAACAATTTGAAAGTAAAATTTGCTGTCAAAAGATGGAAGTTTGGTGTTTAGAGCACTAACTATGTGGTCAGTTGGTGAGGATGTTTGAAGGATTTAAATAATACTGGAAGCTGTCATGATTTCAAGTCTGGGTTTTCATTTAAATTATTTGACATCCCCACTTACCTCTCCTGGTGGACTTGGATTCTGGCCTTTGTGCCCAGCCCAGGAATGTCTGTTTTAGGGGAGCCGGAGGCCCCTCCAAATTGTAAACCCCTGGACCAGATCCTGCATCACGCAAAAGCCTCTGCATCTATTCTTTGGGCCTGTGGCTTCCTTAGGGTCCCACTGCAGCTCTGACTTTCTTGGTTTAGCTAGGAGAGCACACCAATGTGCTCATGTGGAGGATAGCAGTGTGCTTACATGGTAAAGTCCGGTCTCCAACAATTAGCAACATCAGGCTAGGCTTAGAAATCCTCTAATGTATCCCTGCATTTTATAGACGACAGAGCCCCTACAGATGGTGGTTTGCTTTTAGGTCACTTCAAGACTACCAGAACTTCTGGGTGTCACTTCTGTCTTCTCCCGAGCCAGTGCAAAATACAGGTGTGAGACAGCTTCTCCTAGTGACTCCCCTGAAAGGCCCACTGGCGTCTGTAACAGAAGTACAGTAAAATAGAAAATCCTTGTCTTTGCCAGTGTTCTTCTGTCACCAGTTCAGGTCATTCATATGTCCTATCCCAAATCAGGGTCCACTAGCATAGGTATGTGTTTGTGCATGGAAGGGACAGACAGCACTTCAGGTCCAAGGGCTCTTGTCTGCTGGTTGCCTACCTATAATGGGTGGTCTGGCAAGTCTGGTCGAGTCCCTAGATGCCATCAGGACACAGTTGCATGCTAAAAATTGTTTTTGAAAGAAGATAACTATCTGTCACTAGAGCAGAATTGAAGACAAGAACATTACAGAAGAAATACAGCTTGTGATCAGATATGAGGTGTTGGTTTAGTACTTTCAAAGCTGCTTTTATAGGGCACGTGTTAGGCCACATCTGAATAAGCAGCAGTTGTTTATTATGACCATATAGAAAGGCCTTTCTGCTCCCCTAACCTGACTTTTAGACCAGCTTTGTGTCCTTATCCGGGTAGCTCTGTCTGTGCCCGTTCTTGAGCAGACTTACTGCCTGCCTCTGTGTGCCTCTTGATGCTTAGAGAAGGACTTTAAACTTCCAAGGGCTTTCTTACACTCTGGAGCATGGTGGTCATCATTGAAGCAGCTCTGTGGGAGAGTTTGCATAAGTGTCCTTAGTTAATTTTAATTATCATATGAAAGTCAAGGTTGAAAAGATGCAAATGGTGCTAGGCTTGTAGCCAGTCTCACACTAGTGTGGTTTCAGTTTGGTTCTTGGCTGTATAAGGTCTGTAAAAGAAGTCTCTTTAAAGGTTATGTAAAAATTAGCCACTGTGTAACACAGCATGTGTGTACTGGAGGACTGACTTCCATGCTCTAGGAAACATTTGTCACGCCTGCCTCAGTCCAAGCTATTCAGTCTCCTTGCTGCCATCTTGTCATTTCTCACAGACTCTGGTCCTCATAGCAGCTGGAATATCAATCAGATCATGTCCTCTTCTCCATCTTGTGGTGAGAAAAAGCCACACTTCTGTGCCACAGTGTTACAAAAGTTTTAGAATTTTCAGTGATAACAGCCAGCTGCAGCATGCATGGCATAGGTTCACCACCACTGTTACGGCTCATTCCTCGCCTGGTCTCCCCATTCCCTCTGATCACATCTGCAGCCCTGCCTCACCCATTCCTCAAGTGCATCGGGCTCATTTCCCCCAGACCTTGGCCATCTCTACTTTAAACTCCCTTTTTGTAGACACCCACAGAGATTGCTTCTTGGTTGCCCCTAGATTTCTGCTCAGGTGTCACTGACCTCGATTGAGGCTTTTCCCAGCTCTCCTCACCTGAGCATGCACCCCAGCCTTCTGCACACAGTCACATACATGCTTGCTGTCCTTGCCTGACGTTACAGTATTTGTTTTCCAGTTATCCTACCACTGCTTCGCAGTGCTGTGGCGTGCACATTGTGAGTGTAGAGACTGATACGCATTCATTCACTACCCTGTGCCCCTTAGAATAAAGTCCTTAGAATAAAGCACTTGAAAGATGCTCAGGAAGATGCTGGGAGAGTAATTATTTCTGCCTTCCTTATATTGTCAGTCTTACTGGCTTCTTGCCACTTGCAACAGTAGATTTGAGTGTTTGAGAGCTGGCACCCAAGCTGAACATAAGCTGTAACATGGAAGCAAATGTGAATTCTTTCCTAGGTGACTTAACACATTTGAGCCCTAAACAGACAGTGTTCTGCACAGGACTTCGTGAGGCTAAAGTGAAATTACACTTGGAGAATCATTAGGATAAGCTCACCAGCACTGGTTAAAACCTGCTCTAATAGCTTCCCTCTGGCATATGTGTGTTCATAGTTGTCTAAACGGGTGAGTTTTAGGGGCTCAGTTTGAAAATTTTCTCTTTAGCTTAGTTGCCGGTTATTTTAATGTGTAAGATCACAGGTTGAGATTTAGCACAGAATCCCTAAGGGCAATAAAATACAGTATAAGCTTGCTAATAGCTAATCCTTATACTCTTATATTAATTGTGCTTTATGATTTTGTTTTCCTGTAGTGATCCCTGGACTACTAAAGAATTGAAAACGATCACACTTTGGATCACATACCTAGAGTGGCCGCATACAAAAAAGGTTATTAAGCGTACACCAGGAGTTAGCAGCTGCTTTTCCACCAGTCACATATGTGTTGAAAGATGCCTCAAAAGGATTTACCATGTGAATCTTTCTGAATTTCAGCCAGCTGCCTTTAGAAATGCAGATAAAGAAAATGAAGGATATCGGAGAACATTTGTATACTGCACAAATGAATTGCGGACACAGTTCCTTGACTATGTCACCCAAACAGCCTAATTCTAGTAGAGCAACTCGACCAGACAGGCAAGAAGCACAAACCCTCCTGTACCAAGGCTCAGAGGCAGAGGCTGCCTTGATGACCATCGCCACGTGTGTGAAGTGCAAAAGTGTTCACAAAATCCCTCTGCAGGATTTGAAGAAAGATACTGGGCAAAACCAGAAGGAAGACAAATACGTCTGTCTCAAATGCAGCATTCATGTATCTCCGCCTCACTTTCATTTTGTGAACAATAATCCCAGTGCTGTTCACATTGGAAATAATACTGAAGCCGTCTCAAGTCCCGTCAACAAATTTAAGGTAAGGAACTTTAAGCCAGGCAAATATTACTGTGATAAATGTCGTTTTTCTACAAAAGACCCGCTGCAGTACAAAAAGCACACACTTCAACATGAAGAGATTAAATTCGTTTGTTCTCACTGCAGCTACATTTCATACACAAAAGGAGAGTTTCAGAGGCATTTGGTGAAGCATACAGGCATATTCCCTTATCAGTGTGAGTACTGTGACTACGGTGCTATTAGAAATGATTACATTGTAAAGCATCGGAAAAGGGTCCATGAGAGAGCCGGTGCAAAGCGGCCTCTCAAGACCGTTAGCAAGCTGGAACCTAAAAGAATCAGTGTTTCAAGAGAAAATGCGGACCTTTTAAAGGCTCCCAATCCAAGGACTACATTTCAAAATAAGTTATCCGATCAGCTTTCAAGGTTCTCTCTCCAAGGAAATAAAGACAAAATGCATAGCATCACAATGTTACCTGAATCAAACGAATACCAAAAAGACGTCGTGTGCATTCCAAATAGAGTGAGCCTACCTGAGCCTAACGAGGTTGGTCTCTTTGAGAACAAAAGTGTTGAGGTAGAAGTGTTGTCACCTGCAAAGGAACCTGTTCAGCCAGGCGTGCCCTTAACGGTGGTGGCCCCGTCCGAGCTCGTCGTCCCTGCAAACTGCTTAGCCCAGTTGATAGACGTGAAGGTTGTCAACGGCACACAGCAGCTTGTTCTGAAATTGTTTCCACTTGAAGAAAATAATCGCCTTGAAGCTGACAGGGGTGATGGAGGTAATTCTGAGCAGACAACTAAAGAGAAGGGTTCAAATGAACAAGAACAGATACCCGGTGCGGAAAAAACAAAGTCGCTAACAATGGAAGGGAACGTTGGGAAACTTTTAGGCATTGATAGTCTTCAATCTTCAGTTCAGAAGCAACTTAAAAATGTGAAATGGGTAAGATCTTACGACTTTTTCATGTCCAACTCTACTGTGCACAACTATAGAGAATCCTTTTTTCATTCTGATATGGTTGAGGATTTGCAGAGAAAAAGCAGTTTATATGCACATAGAACCACTGCACCTCCTCTTGCCTTAACAGCCCATTCTCCGCCATCTGTAGTAAAAAACAGTGTTTTCTGTGGTCTTGGACCTGCATCAAACTCTTTTCCATATAAAGCTGCTGCTGCTTTTGCTGAAGATGGAAGAAATGTACGCAGTGACTCACAGCAGTCGTTTCCTCTTGCTGCATGGCCCGCAGCTATTTCCTTTTCTGGAGAAAAGAGTGTACTACCCTTAAGTGAAAATGACTTTAAACCTAGAAGTAACATTAGTATTCCTGTAAAAATGGTTTCCTCTAGTAGAAAGCTGGTAGATAACCAGACAGAGCCAAACAAGGTAGTTTCAAATATAGGTCAGGTTTCCTCTCCACATAAAAGTGAGTATTTACACATAAACATAACTGGAGAAGAAAGGGCTAAGTCTCACCAACCTGGGGAGAAGCCTATAGAACGGAAGGATTCTGAAAGGACTAAGGACAATTTTGACGGCCCAGTCATCTCATCAGTATTTTCTCTGAGCTCCGGATCTGAAAATGTGCCAGAGGGTATTAAGTGGAGTAGTTCAACATCCAAAATAAAGTCAATTGAGCTCTTGCGCAGAAAGATAGCTCAGTTAATTGAGTCCTGTGGCAAGCCTTCCTCTCTGTCTGCAAATGGTGCACACCGTCGTTCTGTGGGGCAGGCAACAAAGGTAACTTCAAAGGCACCCTCTGAATGTATTCAAGAAATTAATGTGTCTCTTACTGGCTCAGGCCCTGGCCCTTCCACGGGTCCTGTCCAGAAACCTCCGAATGAAGTTGCTGTTGTTGGCAAAGGACAGCTTACACGTCAGGAGATCTATCCACAGTTCAGTAATGTCACAGATGGGAGAACTGAGAGAGGGACCAGAAAGGCACCTGTGGCTACCCCCGTGCTCATCCCCAAGGGGGCTGTGTTAAGGGTTCTCAACTCCTCAGAGGATGCGCACATCATAGAGGCCACCTGTGATGCACCTGTCGCCATTCCTTGCAGTGAAGCTCATTTACCAAAACCAGTCCCAGTCCGTCCTGTGAAACAGTCAGACTCAGACTTACAGCCTTTGATGAGCAAAAGTGGCCCGGTAGACATGTCCTGGAGTCTCGAGACATCTCTTCGGCCTAAACCAAGAAAAGACGATGCCATCTGCAGTAGCACCTCTAAGAAAACTGGCCCCATGCATGGGCAGCATGGGAGGCTGCTCTCCAGAAGTATTCCTGGGAGCAGGAGTAAAACCAAGCAAGTAAACTCATCCAAGAAGAAGAGCAAGATTCAGGCTGAGTCCAGCCGCTGCTTCAAGGATCCTTCCATTTTTCAGGTTGCAAGACAGCTTCGACTAGTAGCAGTGAAACCCGACCAGTTGATTAAGTGCCCCCGTCGGAACCAACCCGTCATTGTGCTGAATCACCCCGATGTTGACTCGCCAGAAGTGACTAATGTGATGAAGGTAATCAACAAGTACAAAGGCAACGTCCTGAAAGTGGTTTTGTCCGAGAGGACTAGGTGCCAGCTGGGCATCCGACGGCATCACCTACGACTCACCTACCAGAACACAGAGGAAGCTAGCCAGATAAAGAGGCAAATGATGTTGAAGATGAAACTGAAAAAAGTTCACAAAAACAACTACCAGGTGGTGGATTCCTTGCCCGATGACTCGTCACAGTGCATATTTAAGTGCTGGTTTTGTGGGCGGCTCTATGAAGACCAGGAAGAGTGGATGAGTCATGGCCAGCGGCATCTGATTGAGGCAACTAGAGATTGGGATGTTCTTTCTTCCAAGGGCAAATGAGTAAAAATTTGGCATTTGAAGCAAGTTGTTTTTCATTTGTTGGGGGCTTCCCTCTCCCAGGTGCAGTAGGAGAAACCCATACTGTAGGAATGAGCATCGTTAATTCTTCAGAACCCCTGTAGGAATGTCAAGAGCGCTTAGCCTGAGCTCAGGGCTAGACCTTAGGAGGTGTTAGAAGTCCCTGGAATTGTCCACACAGGTGGATGCAGTTCTGTAGAGAAAGTATGTGAAACTCAGCAGATTTTCAGTGGGGTTGGAGACCTTTCTTTGTTTAGTGCCCATAGTTCTGAGTAGATGGGAACCTTTCACCGTCCATTCAGAGGGGCAGGTTTAGAACATGCCACACTCCTGTGAGCGCTACTGAAGAATTAAGCCTACATTTTGTTGTGCACATACACTTTGTTTTTGCTTTAACTCCGTTCTGGAATATTTGTTACACAGTGGAAATTGAATTTTCTGCATCATTATCTTTAATTTGTTTATTCAAAAATGGCCATCCTTTTTAATCCCTCCCTATTCTGTAATACTCATTTTCATGTAGCACTGAATTTTCCTTTTCTTGGCTGTTTCAAGAAATGCTTCCAAGGATTTGCCTGCATTTACTACTTAAAAAGTGTTTTAAAAAACACATTTTTCAAGTATTTTCCTTTTGCATTCTTTTAAAAATCTTGACTTGTGACAGTTGGGTAGGGAATGTGCCTTTTAAAAAAGTTACAGAGGGAAAATATCTACAAGAAATTCTCCTCTTTGCCTATAACACTCCCACAGCATAAATTAAATGGCCAGTTTAAAATGGGAAGGAGTAGGTTTCCTACAACACAGTTAAACCCATGGGAAAGCAGTTGAAGGTAGGCTTGTAAAGCAGGCTGTGAAGGGTCTAATCTGACTTAGTTTTCACCTAGGGACTCATCCAGAAACTGGGGACATGGGGTATGTTCTAGATCACGGGGGACCCCAAATACTGGTGGCCGGGACCAGTCCTTCCCTGCTTTGCCTGTTTTTCTGAACGCATTCTACCTTGGAATAAGGCGGCTTCCCCATCTCCTCTCGATCTTTTCCTTCTGTGCCTTTGAGGTGTCGGGGAGACTTTCCCTCATGATGTTACTAGAAGTGGGCAGAAATCCCCTGCTGCCTGCGGAAGCAGGCACTACCCTGATTTGCAAAGCCAGTAACAACCTGCTGGTGATGCAGCTTGATCAGTCACACTTCCCTAGTGCTCGTCTTCGCTGGGAGGACTTCCACTTCCCTCACCACCCACAGACAACAGGATTTCTATTGACTTGCAGGGTACCTGTGTGTACGAGAGCAGGTAGACAGCTTGGCAAACACAGCTTACCCCTGAAATTGAGTCTTCGCTGGGCCAGGCAGCAAGATAAAAGGCTGAGGCATGGGGCAACTCGCAGGCCTGCCTGCCCTTCCAGGGGCAACTGATTGGTACATTGGGAGGGGGAGCTGTTACATCTAAAAGTGGCACTAGTGACTTCTAACTTGCTCAGTAATTAGTTGGAGACTTAGTGTTCTTTCTGTTTTTTCACATGGGAAAGTCTTAGATTATCCTCTGATGGGCGGAATGATACTCCTTTGAAGTTTGTTCCTGTCACTAATGCTTGACATTTCTTCAGTACAAGATTGTTAAGTTGATTGATTTTATTAAACCTTGCATTTTTATATGTGTGTGTGTACACATACAAGTTTACCACATGGAAATTGCAATAGCTAATCTTCTGGTTTCCTATTTTATAATATGTGGGCTGGAAAAATTACATTTTTATATTCCAGAAATTATTTATTTTGGAAGTACATTTTTATAATGGTTTGATCTCATTTTTAGATAATGAAAGCACAGTAAGTGATGGGGTCTCATTTATATGAACAAATAGGAGTAGAAACCCCTGTGGATCATTTCATTACAGCATTCGGTCCTTGCGTGTTTTTATTTGGTGCTTTGTGGCTGGTAGGTGTTGCACCACTTTGCTACGTGGTGAAGAGCATTCTGAAGTTTTATCCGTGTTACAGACTTGCACCCTCCTGCATGAAAGAGATCTAAGATGTGGAGAGGAGAAGAAAAGCCTGTGATTTTTATTTTATTCTCCTATACCTCACCACTTAGCAGCTTTTTCCTGAGTGGCTGGACTGAGAGCTGATCAGGTCAGAGTATTTAGCATCAGCTTGAAATATTTACACTTCACAGTATCAGCTGTTGTTCAAGTATTACCTAAAACACATCTTGAGTACTTACGTGGAACTGAATTAATTGAATTTTGTGAGTAGAGTATGTAGCAAACCCTTTCGGGGATTTTTCAGCACTGTAATACTTTTTAAGGAGTTAAAAGTTATTCTGGAAGTCGGAAAAATGGGAAGGCAGAAGAAACTGTCTTCCCCAAATAAAGAGCTTTAGAAAGTAGCTTGTTAACATGTAGGTAATGTCATGAAGTGAACACGTCTAACAAAATCGGAGGGAGTAGGGGCAGAACTATTGAGTACTTACGTACTCTGACCTTAATTTTGAAGGATCTCTGGTCACTACATGTTGTTAGTAGCACTAATAAAGTTATTTTAAACTTATTTTTTTAAAGTAGGTTTTCTTACTTTTGGGCCAGAAATGAGACAGTCTTGTTATATTTATGACATAGGCAAATAAAACTTTTTAAAAACCTACTAAGTGTACTCAATAGGTTATATTTTATTCAAATTTTTATCCCCGCTCCAAAACATTTTATGAGCCCCTCCTGTGGGCTAGGGGCTATTTGATGAACTAAACTGAACACAACGTATTAACCCTCATAAGCCATCCCAGAAAATAAGATGTGATGCTGCTCAGCCTTTGGAAAAACTTTAGAATCTGTGAATGTCTATATGAGCAGAAAGCAAAACTTTGTAGAACATGTTAACCATTATTATAATTCCTGTGTTAACAGTCTGTGTCTGCTGCTCTGGTTTTGAAACACGTTTGTATATAGATATAGAAGTTGGAGTAAATTTTGTTAAATAAAGTAACTGTAAGATTTTTTTCTGCCCTTTCATTTCCATTGTTAAGCAAAGTGGATATTTATTACACAGCCTAGCTTGTATGATACATTTCTGAAGCACACAAAGGCATCCTTCTACATGACAGGTGTTCTGAGTCTTTCCAGGGTGTACTTTGAGTCGTAGGCACTTCTAACTGGTTAATCATGCATAAACTGATAGGAAGCTGGGTTACTCTTTCATTTTGCTTTGACTTAAATTCCTGAGAGGTGCTGGTTTAGACAAGAGTGGAGATTTTCCTACAACCACCAGTGGCCTCAGCGTAGAAAGTGTGTGAGCCCTTCCCCTACCATGCATGGCTAGCCTCTCAATGGAGGGAGTGGGGAGGGACAGCTGTGAAGCAGTCGGCCCCCTGGACGATGAGAATATGGTTGCACTATTGACGTCATCCTTGTATTTAATCCCACATATACTTGGGAGGACGGAGTATGAGTGTATTGGAAGAATGCTGTTCAGTTCTTTCAACTCACTTGCGGATCCCAGAGGGAGCAAAACAAAACAAAAAAAAACAAAAAAAAGCAAGAAAGATAATTGGACTTCAGATAAACATTGGCAGAGCCTGAGGAAGAGAGATGTGAATGCTCAAGTTGAGTTTAGTATGAGTTGAGTCGTCTTTGAATGTTAGACGATTTATCTATGAAGTTAACACCTTTGCCAGTGGTTTAGAATAGAAATTGAGGCGGTGGGAGCCTGAAGAAAACTATTTTAGGCAGGGACTAACGGGAGGTTGAGGACAGTGAATAGGGAACAGGCAGAAATGGACTTAAAAGCTACAGGGCAAGGAAGTGGCAGTTACTAACCCACTTTATTACTGGGAAAATCTTTGCTTTGCAGTATATAGAGTCTGTTGCCTGTTTAAAGTTGCAGCATCCTCACCAGGAAATCGGGAGGAGATGCCATGTGAAAGAACTTAGCCCAGTGCTGTGCAACAAATGTAAGCCACGTTGCAGCCACTTTTAATAGAATAAAAAGAACAAGTGAGTTGCAAAATGACTCATTTCACCCAATACAGTTAAAATGTTTTCAATCAGCATAAAATTTACTGAGATGCACATACATTTGTGTACACTTTAAAAACCTGGTGTGTATTTTACACTTAACATGTTTCAAGTTTGATGTTAGATTTTCAGTTAAAAACAGTCCTATCATTAAGTAATGGAAAATATTTAACACTCAGATTTTAAATGTACCTAAACATTTAGTTCCTCTGTCACTCTAGTCTTGTGTCAGGTGTCCATGTGTCTGGTGGCTTCCGTACTGAATGGTCGGGGTGGAGGGAAGACTTGTGGGGACCACTGGATCTTATGTATCTAAGACGTCACTTAGATACACGAGGCTAGGTTTCACAGAGTCACATTTTTGGAATAGAAGTTCTGCGGCAGATTGAATATTAACGTGCCAGAAGTTCTATTTCTGTCTATATCCTAGAAAATGTGTTTCACCTAGTGATTTTTGAGGTTATCATTTATTCCATCCTAATTGGTCAAACAAATGTTTCTTTTTCATTCATAGCACATGTGTATCTAGAGTGTCAAGGGGTTCAGTTCCCTGCAGTCTGTCAGGGACCTAGCCTCAGGGAGCCTCCCTTCCTGTAGCTGCACAGTCTGGCCCACTGGTGTATCTCCATCGCGGAGACAGAAGAGAAAGAGAGGATCTTGCACAGTTGGATAATAACACACAGAGCTTACACCCACAATCACAATCTCCCAATGGTCGGCTATGCAACACCATCACAAACATGCACAGGAGCAAAAGAACAGTGTATTGCTCAACACTGTTCTGTGTGTCCAGCATGCTGGGTAGTAAGTAGTGCACATACTAGAGGAATATAAAAGGCAGTTGGCTATGTGGAAAGTAACTTGCTAGTCTGACAGCTGTGCCGTGTTAATCTGATGAGAGTTGGAGATGTGGATAAATGGAAACTTCAACATAATAGTTGGCAGTACTCAACTTGAAGTAATACATTGTGTCCAATTGCATTTCTCTGATTTCTGATGAAATGCCGCTCATCTTTGCAAGTGCTTGTTGGACATTTGAGTTTTCTGTGAATGACCTGTGAATATCCTTTGTCTATTTTGCTACTAAAACACTTATTTTCAGCTTTTTGAAGAAAATAAGAAATCTCACTTTCTGTGCTTTTTGCATTTTATTGCAGGACTCCTCTAATTTGAAGTAAAAAAAGACAGTCCCTTGTGTTAAATTTGGTAACAAAAACAGACTTCCACATAACAGAACACCTAAGAACCTGTAAGTCATCACTTTTAAGCTTAGAGAAATCATTCTCAAATGGATCTGGGTCTAGATCTCTTTTCATATGAAAAAATACCTAACCCAGATTACACTGATATTCTCACAAGTCCCCTCGATGTGCATTGTTTCCTGTCTTTGCCGTCACCCGTTGTGGGGTGTGCAGGCTTCTCCCCGTGTGTAGCACAGCTTCCTTTCCAGGACTCTTTAAGTGCAAGGCTCTGGCTGGATCTCTGTGTAGCTGTGCGATGCTGGGCGGGGAAGCTTCTTTAAAGCCGGTTCTAAACAGTGGTTTCCTGATGGCAGGTGTACACAAAGAAGAGATTTCCCGCAGAAGATGACACCAAACTCTAGTGGTGCTCTCTTCTTGCTCTTTGCTCTTCCTTATACATTTTTAAATCGGCTCCTCAGACTATGTTGAGTTTTTTTTTTTGTTTTGTTTTTGTTTTTTTTATGTTGAGATTTCCATCTGAAGAACATTGAAATTGTCAATGCCTGTGAGGGAAATTGACATAAATGGCTATTCCCAATTAGCCTGATAATTTGCTTAAAAAAGTAATAAAGTTCAACCAGACCAATAATACTTTATAATTCATTCCCTTCATTTTGAGGAAAATGCCTCATTTGCAACCATAATAAAAGCCACGAAAAAGGAAAAAGGCATGTCATTTGCAAATGAGTAGTTTCAAGCAAAATTGCCAAATGCAAATTCAGCGCATTAATCAGATGACTTCCCCGGCATCAGCATGCAAACAGCTGCAGTAGAAATGCTCCCCCCAGTTCCTCCTGTTCTGCACTTTACACGAAGTTCTACCTGGTGTAATGTGAAATTAAAAATAAAAATGGGTGCCTTGTGTTTTCTATGCAAACAAAAGACTAATAATGTTGGAAGAGAAAAAAAAAGTTAAGTTTCACCATTTCAAAGAGCAGAATATTTGCTGTAGATCTTTGGAAGGTACTCAGTTTAATTCTTTTCCATCAGAAAGGCCACCAAGTATCTAAAAGATGTCACATTAAAGAAGCAGTGTGTGCCATTCAGGCGTTACAATGGTGGCGTCGGTAGGTGTGCCCAGG